GGATACGGAATGGACTTGGTCAAAGGAGCAAGAAGATGCGTTCACTTCAGTGAAGCAATCTCTTGTAGAGGCACTGGTCTTGGCATTGCCAGACGCGGATAAGCTCTTTAGCGTCGTCTGCGATGCAAGCAATTTTGCAATCGGCAGCACGCTCATGCAAAAGGATGACAACGGGGTTGACCGTGTCAAATTTTATCAGTCTCGGCGTTTAAAAGCTGCCGAGCTGAATTACCCTGTGCATGACAAGGAGCTACTTTCCATTAAGTATGCCCTTGTGAAGTTTCGGGTGCACCTCTTGGGCACCGAACCTTTTGTGGCTTATACGGATCATGCATCACTGCGGACCGCTATAAATTCACCGCATCTTTCGCCGAGAATGGCGATTATGGCGAGATGGCTAACATTCTTCTCTGAATTTATTTTCAAAGTTGAATATAAGCCAGGTAAGTCGAATGTCTTGGCTGACGCGTTATCGAGCAGATCAGACGTCGAGGCGAGACACCAGGAAAGTGTGTCTCGTGCGAAAGCACAAGGTGAGTCGTCAACATTGGCAGCCATGAAGGCCTACCATGTGACGAGCTCATTGGCCTCTGATATAAAGGAGTGCTACAGTCAGGACGAACATTGTCGCCTGCTGTTGGATCATTTTGGTGGACGAAAGGTTATTCTTCCGTCACACCTTAAAGCGAAACTAAATTTCTTTAGTTACAGTGATGGCCTGCTATGGCATCAAATGTCACCCTGTGATCCCTTGAGAATCTACTCCCCTCATGACACAGATCTCAAGCTGATGATACTTCACGAGTGCCATGATGTGCCATCTAGTGGGAATCTGGGCCGTGAAAAGACATTCTTACGAGTGTCAGAGGAATATAGGTGTTCCCACCTATATCGGTGGGTGGCCAACTATATTCGCTCTTGCGAAGAGTGTCAGCGCATAAAGCCTGCACATTCTAGCAGTGCGCCACTAAGGCCAATGCCGATTCCAACTGAATGTTGGAAGTCGGTCAGTTTGGACTTCATGTTTGGATTACCGCCTGAACATAAAGGCAGGACGGGGCTCGTCGTCTTTGTAGACAGACTGAGCAAGATGGTGCATTTGGCACCATGTAGCACCAAGATCTCAGGAAAAGAGGCTGCCCTCTTGTTTCTGGATCACGTGTATCGACTACACGGGATGCCCGAGTCCATAATATCGGACCGGGATCCGCATTTTACGTCGGGTTTTTGGCGACATGTGTTTGAGCTGCTGGGTAGCAATCTCCACATGTCAACCGCTGATCAACCCCAGACCGATGGCCAAACAGAACGGGCCAATCGAGTCGTGGCGGATGTGTTGCGTACTGTAGCGACTTTCAAAGAATGGATCAAGCAATTTCCATTCGTTGAGCTCGCTATTAATAACAGTGTTCACGCCAGTACGGGTGAAACACCGTTTTACATTAACGGACTGCGTCATCCTCGAACGCCAGTCTCGTTTGTACGCAGCTCGAGTCTTAGTGGGGGAGGGCCCCTCACTTCGCTCGGTGCGAATGCCAAAGAGGGCCAAGGTTGCCCTAGTGACACTGCTAATTTAGCAGTGGTCACGACACCTATAGGTGTCAATGAGGAGGCACGGCAAGAAATGCCAGTGCTCCTTGATGATGACACTATAGTGTTGTCAACAGCGTCGACCCATGAACGACCTCTTGGAGGCGTCATCGGCGAGCTGGATGCTAAAAGCGTGAGCGAAGCTCAGTGCTTTGTGGATGAGCGATTAGCCATCACACGTAAAGTCCGTGACGAAATGGCAAGCGCACAGAACAAGCAAAAACAATATGCAGACCAGCATGGTCGCAAAAACAATGAGCACTTTAGTGTGGGGGAAAAGTGCTATTAAGTACTGCTACCCTACCTAAACATGCAATTTCTGTACTGGTGGTACTACTAAGCTATTGCCCCGACTTGACTCGAAAGATCAGCTACCTCACTATTCAGCGCAGCGGACTCAGCCTGCGACTGAACAGCAGCAGGGTAGGCAGCCGCGAGTAGGTGGGCGTAATCGCCGATCCTATCGGGCGCCACCTGTGTTGGTGGACACGGAAGGGAATACGCGCTTCCTTGTTGGAAGGCTGTTGGCGCACCGGTTTGTGAAGCGAAAGCTTCAAATCCTTGTCCAGTGGAAGGGTTACCCAACGAGCTTTAACTCATGGGAGCCTGTGGACGCTTTGCGCGTTGACGTGCCTGGGCTGGTGGCTGCTTATGTGAAGCAGCACCAGCTGGCGTCTTCCTGCTAGGTCCGGAAGGACTAGCAGAAGAAGCGTGGCGAGAATCAATTGGGGGTCGCTTACCACCCAAAATTTCATGCGCACGCTTCATGGCGAAGATGATTCGCTGCGACCGTTGTTTCGTTGCATCTACATGCAACGTTACACGGCGCCGAAGTTCAGCTTCATAGTCGTCGGCTGTTTCGTTAGAACGCAGCACGACTGGAATTGGGAAAGCATGACCAAATGCTTTGCCCTGCCTTTACCACAAAGGAAAGACGCTATAAAACCAATGAGCGTCAATAGTAGCACACTGCAAAAGCGCTACACTAGACCCCTTCGATTTTATCCACTCGGATGGAGGTGGCATTGGTGGCAAGCCACCACTCGCGTAGCCGCCCTCGCGACGGCGGGCTAGTGAGGCCGAACGTGTACTCAGTGGAGCTTTAAGATCACACTCACCTGAGTTTGACTCTCCATTAAGGATTGTTAAGACATCAGCCTGAGGAGTCACATCTGACTGAGTCGCGACTACTCCTTTCGAATTAGCGTGCTCAGTCTTAGTCGCTGCGCTCGTAGGCGCAGGCGACGAGGTTTTAACTTTGCTTGTAGGAAGCATAGATGCTTCCTCAAGGACGGGTGCCTCGAATGATGGGGACATATGTCCCATCAATGCGCATTGCTCATCACCACTTTGGGGTGATGGCAGTGGTGTGGTCTCATTGTAGTCTACAATGAGAGATGGATCTTCATCCACATTATCGTGAGATGGAAGATCCACCCCAGTGCCTGACGCACTTTGCGACGGCTGCGATAAATCGCGGCGCGTGCGCTTAGTGCTGGACTGCATGGGTGCCTTTGCAGGCGACCCATCAGCCTTACCACGTTTCGGTGGCATGAGTACTGAGCAGACTAAAGCGGCGCGTTTATAACGGCTCGCAAGTCTCTCTGTCTCGTAGGCGATGTTTTACGAAATGTAAACATCGTTCTAAAACGGGGGATGGTGTAACAGGGTATCTAGTTACACGTAAACATTAAGTAATATACTTAATGTTTGGTTTAAAAGTATCCATGATTACTTTTGACCTGTCACTTGGATGCGATACACAAACGTGATCCACCCTCGTGAATGTGATATCCATTGATGGATTCACATGAGAAGGGATGACGCTAGTTGAAGCTAGGCATCACGACGTCTCAGAAGGTCGTCAGTTGCGATCTTAAATCTAGATTTAAGATCATACGACAGGATACGCTTCTAAAGAGTCGCGTATCCGATCTATATATATATATAGCCAATCAGTAGTTAAATATATATTTAGCTATAATTCATTAAATATAGCTCAGTCTTGAATTTACTTAAACAAAAGCATCACGCACGAGAAGTTGCAAATCTTCTGCGTGACGTCCGTGCTTTAGTGTTAAGAAGTTCGTTGCACTCTCGCTTAAGCGAGAGGCAACTGGTGGTACGACTGCTTAAGCAGTCGACCAACCTCCCAACCACCCTCGCACGCGAAGGTAAGACGGTCTTACCGCTTCCTCGCTTGTGCATAAGGTGTGTGCTCGTAGTACGAGGCAACTTCGAAGAAGTGCCCGTCTACAAGCTGGTTCAAAAACCTCGACGAAGGGCCAAAGCAATTTTGGGCTCTTGGCCATAGCCCAGAAGCAATTGAGTTGCTTTTTGTGGATGCAGCATACATGAATCAGAAGTCATTAGAATATTTCCCGCCTCCGCCATCTATGAACATTGGTAACGACAAGAGCGATGACGACATGGAGCCAGACGCCTTCGCATTTGCTGAAGGCATAGTTCGACAGACCGCAGTGAGCAAAGTCGAGGAAAAAGCTCAAACTTATTTTGCTCTTTCGCCTGTTCGCATACACTAGGTGACATTGGAGTGGTGAGCACTGCATCAGCTGCAATTCTCCACACTTGCAAGGATGGCAAGATTTTATCTGGCCATCCCCGCGTCTTCAGCTCCGTCTGAGAGAGTTTTCTCTCAAGGTAGAAGAACTTACCGGTGGGACAGAAATTTACTTTCCCCTAAAAACTTGGAGAGGCTTCTGTGCCTCAAGGATTGGATAAGGACACATGGTCACGTTTCTTTGTCGGCAAGGGACTAGTTTTTTCGTTTGTCAGCCCGCTTGAACTTCCCACGTGGGAGACGTAGAGTGTGGATACTTTTATTACCAATTTCATAATGTTTTTCTCCCTTACATATTGTTTAATAGTCCGCAACTCTGCATGTTTTTTGCGCGGGTAACATGGGTAATTACCCGCGGGTATGAGCCCAAGTCGTGGGTAATGAAATTTGAATGAGTCTGAGTCGTGGGTAAACGCAATTACCCAACCCAGACCCATGGGTACCACCTCTAGTCTCATCACAAAGTTTCAATAAGTTACTTTACCACATTGTATTATCAAAGTGAACTATCTATCAAAATTAGATTTGTAATTACCTTGTCTTGACTATACAAAAATACATACATGTATAAATAACTTTGTAACCTCCATTATCTGCGCGCGTGCCACCACGTGTAAGTTTACCAGGTGTGACTTTGGAACCTATGCCGCTGACAAATGAGATTAAAGAACAAATTGATACACAGAATTTAGTCGACACATTGTTTGGTCACACACTGAGACCATTGTGCCCGACATCTGCCTTGTATTACTTTTTCAGGTCTTGTTACTTCGTAATATGGTCTTGCAACGCCTAATGGTAATATGAGACTCAACTAAAAAATTGGCAGCTACAAACTGTTTTTTTCCCATCGCTTCCGCATCTTTTTCTTTTTACGCCGAGCATTGTTGCTGTCGCTACTGCGTCTGTGAATAGCACCCCGTTTTTTCAGCTTTCTTATTTCTCCGTTCCAGCGCTTCGCACGTGTAAGTACTAGCAAAAAAGCTGGGATTGCGATCATTGCGATTGCTCCAGGAATCATGGGAGCCGCAGCAGCAATAGTGTCAGCAATCGCAGCTAATGCAGCAGTTGTGGAAGCTTTTGTGGGGCCGATAGCTCGGTCTTCGACTTCGTGTAACAGTAGCTTGCACATTTGACGCCATTCATGAGACTGCCTAAACTGGTCGTATGTGGCATCAATACTATTGTCTCCTTCGGGTAGAAACACCGCCACTGCGTCAGTTAATCTTCCAACGAAGGCCTGGGGTGTAAACTCTTCGATTATTCCTTCAGAACGTGTCCATTGCTGCATCAAATACTCGCGCCAGTACTTGGACGACATCATACTATTCTTTTCATCACTGAATTGAAAATGGCTAGCTGTGACTTTGTAAAGGAACAGGAACACCGAATTGGTACAGTCAAAGACTCGGCTGGCTTTACCCTCTACAAAGTGCTGGAACTGGGCGCGTTTGCCATTAAGAGGGTCCAGAAACACGTCCAACACTGGCAAAGCGGTATCATCCAGTACCTGCACATTATCAAAGACGAAGAGATTACGATCGGGGCACGCGTGGAGTGGTGTGACCAGAGCGATGCGCAGCCTTTGCTTGATGTCGTAGTTGGATGTTCGCGAGGGCTTGAGCAGCTCCTGAAAGTCAACGCTCTGCACTGTATGCAAAGATCGAGAAGCACCAAAAAGTGAAGAGGCCACGGCACCAACTAGAGAGTGCAAAAGATCGCTAGAATTAGAGAAAAGCATGAGTGCTAGCGGCTGGTGGCGGTCGAAGTCATTAGCGATGAAGCGCTCGGTCAGCGTCGAGATCACAGAAGGTGAAGTAACCGGTCCGAGGCACTTCAAAACATGCGACTCAAGACGAGAGGTCAAAACTTCTTGGGAGTAGTGAGCACACTGCTTCCCGAAGACGAGCGGCAGCAGCAGCAGTAGCAGCAGGTGGAGTGGTAGCATCGAGCAATTAACTGACGATCCAATCGTACTTAATAGAGACCATAATGTCTTAAAACTCTTTCAAAATTTTAGGTATCTCTTGGTGAAATTCAAAACCATTAATTAATCTTATAGCTGCGTCATCAGATCGTTCGCATAGTCGATCAGTTCCTGCTCTTTGTTGGCGAATGGATAGTCCTCAAATCTGGTCACATCAAAATTGTCCACAACGCTGGATTCTGCGGCAAACACGTCTTAAGTCCGTGAAAAAATCGCCGTCCTGATGGAAATCGATCTCGTATTCCTGCTTGATTTCCTGATTGCTGTACCGATGTCCCATTTACTGGAAACACAATATCTTCCTCGTCCCCCACTGTAATGTTTTCGCTTCCAGTAAAACATTTGCAGATGTGTCCAGCTACTTTGGGTCGAGTTCTTTACATTACCCTTTGGTTTCTTAGCGTTCCGGTCAAGAAATAACACGTTGCATCGACGTCAAACTGAACCAAGGTCACATCTTCTGATTTGTTCCCGCTCGGTGTCCACCGAACCAAACGCAAATGACGTCATGTAAATAGGCGTCTGCGCTTTCATCCAGGCCAGTCGAAAGGTATCCTAATCGGTATGGACCAATTCTTATTTTCTATAAGTGGTTCGGACGGTAGTACACGAAGAACATGAACACCTTTAGTGCCGCTGCCCGTTTTCGATTATTGAGTATTTGACCGCTTCCCTGCTCGAGCATGTCAACAAATAAAGGTCGACGAGCTCCAAAAGCAAAGATTTGCGTAGGATATACATGGTGCCAGAAGTCCGCCCAATAGATGGCAACGTGCTCGCGATATTCCTGACTTTCGAACGACATGTTGGATCACCTACAGAAACGTATCAGCGTCAGAAACAAGACAATTTTAAATTATGCTGTGCTGAATGGCGTGGATTTTGGACCCAGTAATTGTCGGATCAATGATAGTTTTCATATCACGTTTGTGAGCTATTGCTGCTCCATGCCCAAACTGTCCCCATAATTGGTGTGCGTACTACTTCAGGCTTTGAAAAAAAAAACGATTGGTGGTGTGCAAATATTAGACCGCAAGACGCTAATAGTAGAAGACGCTTGACAGAAGTCTGAAGTACACGACCTTAAAGATGCCATTGTTGCCTAAAAAAATTGATGGGTCTGACGTATTCTGTGCTAAAGCATTTTCGTAATCGCTTTGAGCCATAAGCCCAAGGTTCGCTATATCAGCGGCCATTGCGCACAAAAAAAATCACATGCTCACGCAGACTTGAACAACAGAGTTTCATGACGCAAAACGCTTCACCAGTGTACCTCGCAATATCCGGAAACACCATTCTGAGCAAGTTGGTTGCAAGGAGATCCGATCTCGGTTCGCGTTTATTGTACGAGTCATACTGTCCAGTCTGACGCCACACGCACTTGAGATTGTTGCAAATTTTGTGAGACGAAGAGGTAATATGCCGTACGTTTGCCCTACAACCGCTCTTTCCTCTTCGCAATTAGCTTATTAGCTGCATCGACAAGCCGTTGTATAGGCTCGATAACTAGGCGAACCTCACGCGTAGTTTCTTTGAGGCCAGCCAAATCATGATGATATTCCTAATCGCGGTCTGCAGCATTGTTTCGTAAATTAGACAACAGTGCAGCATCGTTTCTAGGTATATACTGGTGGGTCTATCGGATCACAAAAACACCAAGAACTGAAGCTGCATAAAAACCCCAACACCACGTAAAACTGCAGCCATTTTTGCGCGATCAACGTCTAGCTGGCGCAATGGCAGCGGAAGACAGAACGACATTTTGGGCTCGTAAAACGGAAATGCCGTGAGGCAGAGCGACGCATGCTGATTAAATTCGTAATAAAGGCTCCTGGTGACTGTGCCTAGATGGCCACATCATCGGACGCGCACCCGATGGGCAAGTTCTGCTTGTCGCCTATCATGTTCGCTTTGTCTCATCACTAGCATTTACGATTTGCCGCCATTACAAAACACGCAGATGCCTTCGAATAATCCAACTCTCATTGCAAATGTGCAATAATGGTCGCCATCCGTACTGCATCGAACAATCGACAAGTATCGAGTCAGAGCACGCAAATTGTGATGGCATGCCCTAGTGCCAGAACCAACAGCAGCATAGCAGCTCAGTTAACCACATGGAGGCGGGTGAGCTGGCCTCTTGTAGCATCGCACTACTGGTTCAATTAAACAGTTAAGAACTTTTCAGCAGGGTCTCCTTCATCTAAGTGAGTAGATTCCAGTGCTTGTGGCGCTGTCCATGATCCATTCTGAACCACTCGTTAGGTTCCCAAATCCGGCTCATTGAATATCTTGGTTTGTTCTATCCTTGGCCTCGAATGTGCTGTTTCTTTAATAACGGTAGAGGCTCGCAGCGGGCCAGTGTCCACGTCGCGTACCTTGTTTCGATGCCGCAGCGCATTCTGAGAATCATCGTACACGTCGCTTAATTCAACAGGACTTGTCGATTTCAATTTCGGCTTCCTGGCAATAGGTATCTCATCCGAACTAACAATCACAGTACCTTCCATTTGGGCAAGAATGCCTAAATCCTGGCCGTCCGATTTCGCAGCATTTGCTGGTGCATTTTCCCGTGCATCTTCCTTAATCTGGTGATCCCCTCTCTTTAATTCTGACTGTTCAAGTGGTTCTGTTGCCTGCGTCTTCTCGGCTTCTACATTCGCAACTTTAGCCTCATGTAGGTGCTTTTCAACCTTTGATAAATCCTTAGGTCGGACGTCTAACTCTAAATGCTCTATGTCGTGGTGTTGCTGTTCATCTTCTCCTTCTTCCGCTCGATCCACAGCATTCGTCTCCTCCACTTTCTTCGCTTCAATTGCTCGACCCACTCGTATGTTCCCCCTGCTACGTGGCCTCAGTGAATGCACAAAAAAGCTTTGACTGTTCTGCTCTGAGCCCACCACACGACCAATGCTAGCAATGTCGTCTGCAAAGTAAATAGCACCAAAGTATAGCAGCACACACAATACAAAGCACGTGCGCAGCTGCAGTGAGCTGATTTTTCGGGACCGGTCATTCCGGTCACAGCGCTTAGCGTATACCCGCTGGGCATGTACATGCGTCTCTTGCAACGAATAGCTCACCGCCGTGATGTTAGTCCGTGATGCAGGAATGCGCACGTATTGCGGGGACCCGCCCACGATGCCGCGTAGTTTGCGGTGAAGTGCCATAACGAGAATAACGTTGACTATCCACGAATCAGGTTTTGTATGAATGAGAATATTATTCCTTTCGAATGGCATAAAGTCTATACAATTCGGAGCCGATACGCATATACACTTCAACTGACCTCATGAGCTCCGACAATCGTGTTGCTTGGCATAGTCGGTTTGGAAGGCATCATACCAAGCCAGTCGGAGAGCACTTTGCCAAGAACGGCACCGTCCATACTGGTGACGGTCATATATCCCTCCGATTGTAGCCACACATGATGGTCGCCTTCGATGTTAAACCGCGTCAAATTCGTCAGCTGTGCATACGAATCTAGGATCTTTGTCATGTTGCCGTAGAATTCGCTAGCATCAAACAGCGTTGTGAATGGATAGCCTGCAATGCCCAATCGCACCAACTCGTAATACTGGCGTTGCGTCTGGTCTGCGATGCTGTTGATGAACAACCACTCGCTCTTGGATACTTGCTTGATCAGCGCGCCAACCATCTCGGGAACGGTAGCCTTGCTTGCCTTACACTCTGCTACCATCGACTTGGGGAAGTTGAGGTCTATATCGCACCCACCGAAAAAATTGATAATGGAACTCGAGGGTGACTTGTATTCCGGGAGCACATCGACGTAGCTGTCCGCCAGAACTTGGAACTTCGTCGACTTCTGCTCGACTTGCCACATATCGACAATCTTTGCAGACCAGAATTGTGCGGCCAGCGACCCTGCACTGTAGCCACCGACGACCACCTGCTCCGGACTAGGGTAGTTCTCAAGTGCCCAATCGAGCACAGCCTTCGTGTTGTTGTAACCATTTAAGTACATACCTCGATTCTGGCCAAGGCACTGCTTGTTGCCTAGTGCTTGGCTGTAGTCACTTTCAAAAGGCGCCAAGTATGTATTCCCCACAAAGACATCCCCAGTGCAGTATGGCAGGAATACAATGTCCCAGTCATTGAAAGGGTTGTCAACAGCACCGCGGTCCATGATGCCACTGCTGTTAGCCCTAGCCATCGTCGTCATTAGCGAGTTGGCTCCAAGTTGACACTGCAGGGCGAAGTTACAAGTGTCCTCATCGACGCAGGCACCTCCTCCCTGAAAGTAGATTAGCACCTTGGACTTCTTCGTGGTCGGGTATACTTGGAAGAAGTACGTCGAGCGTGACTCGAATGTCGTGGTGTCGTCCAAGTAGTCATCGAACGCACAGCGTGTGTTGCCCCCAGGGTAAATGAGAACGCTGCCATCGTTACCGTACGTTGTGAGCAAATCAATCGCGCACTTTTCTAAGGGTCCGAGCTTGCAAGTGCTACCGTCAGCTGCATGCGCAACCAGCGTAGGAAGAGCCAAAAGCGCCACAGTAAGCTTAGAGGTGAACATATACTATCAGCAATCTGCAAATCCGATGTATAGGACGAAGTCTCTTTGGAAGTGAGGAAAGAGCACAGCTACTGTGATCTCCCAGAAACGGGATAGGCGTAAAGCAGATACAAAGTTGCTGCCTATCGCGTGCGCGTCCAACGATGTGGCAATCGGGACAAGCAGCCACATGCTTAATGATTACTGTATATAATCAGCATGTGTCGCCCTGCCGCACCAGCTCCATTTTTACGAGCCCAAAAGTCGTTCCGTCACGAAGCGACGAAATTGTCTCCAGCTGTCATTGCGCCAGCTGGGCGTTGAAGCATGCCCCAAAGGCTGCTGTTTTATTTTTTACGTGGTGCTGGGGTTCTATGCAGCTGTAGTTCGGTGCTTTGTAATCCATTCTGAAGAATGCGAGAGGGTCAAAGACTAATGTCAAATTAATTTAAAGAACGATGTGGCATATCCGAGGGCATATAATTTGTTGCTGAACCGTTTACAATTTTTGTTGATGATGCGACGTAGTGAAAATTGAATTGTATTTTTCGGCTCGCTAGCAAGCTTTTTAGTCTGCATGAATGCGACATTTGCAGTAGCTGCAGGAGCGTTAAGATCAATGAGTTCCGCGGTAAGACTATAGCATAATCTTTCCACATGGAAGGATACTGACTGCAACGTGTGATAGATGCTGATTTAAACATACTCATAACGTCTTTAATTTGTTCTAAAAGACTTGTTCGTGTATAATGAAGAATGTTGACGGATCGGTGCGCATACATAGCACACAAGTATTGTGCTGGTGCCGTCGAATGGGCAATGTCGAAACAAACATCACGGCAATTCAGGAGGTCAGATAGCTCAAATTATAAGAGATGATATAAATCTTAGCCATATTGCGTCACTAGAACAGTCCTAATAAGTGTGTGGAATGTTCTTGTAGTGTGTCATTCTTTGTGCAGCTTGGTACATAATTTTGACACTTATATATGATGACGTCACAGACGGTTGTCCATCAGCGAGCTCAAAAATATTTATAAGCTCGCACGTAGGGATTGAAAGAGACGCGTATCTGATCTTTACATATCAACCAATCAGCGAGTAGCAACAGTTATATTTAGTTTAGTTTCTATAAAATATAAGTCAGTCTTGAATTTGCTAACTACCTTTCATTGCGCACGAGAAGCTGGATCAGCTTCTGCGTGTCGTTCCCAAGTACTTGTTAGAAGTTCGTTGCGCGGTTCGCTTCGACGACGGAATCTGTTGGTGCGGTCGACCAAGCACCCCACACCGTGCACGGAGGAGTAGACGGTTCTACCGCTTTCTCGCGTGCTTGAAGGTGTGTGCTTCGTGGTACGCGTCAGATTCCTAGAAGTGCCCGTCTACACCTGGTAGCACAAGTAGTGTTCCCACAGCCCGTCTTTCTGAGCGTGTGTGAATGAGGATGGGCCTCAATATGGATTGGACCCAATTCCCCAACTCTCTCATTATCATAAGGAGTTGTCAGAGCATTTGGCGCAGGTCAACCTCTTACACTGTCCTCCTGAGAAATGTGGTGAAGTACTTTCCGAAAATGTGAAAAACTTAGGGTCCAGTTGGATGGAAGGACCCTGGAACCGCTCACCTGGTAAAGGAACCGGATAGAAAGGGGACTTAGGGGTAACTGACTGATATGGATGATGTGGCTCCTAGATGCTTGGCAACGACGCAAGTATATCTACCGATGTCTGCCAACGGTGCCGGACAGTCTGAAAGAGTCACACGCGTGCACTCTGCCCGGACCGACATTCCGCGCCATCTACCGACTCTTCACTCCACAGATATGCCCACTTAAGTCTGGACAGACCGCTGTCTTCACAACGTGTTGTCATCGCGTCGATACGAATAACAGCCACAAAACGCGTGCACCACTGGCGTATCATACCACTGTGCACGCTGTGTAGATGGTAGTTGCGTCTTAATGGTCGCACAACAGCCGTTCTCATTGGTTCAAGCATGACGAGACTTGATCCTTGGGTCACCTCTCACAACTGACTGATATGGATGATGTGGCTCCTAGATGCTTGGCAACGACGCAAGTATATCTACCGATGTCTGCCAACGGTGCAGGACAGTCTGAAAGAGTCACACGCGTGCACTCTGCCCGGACCGACATTCCGCGCCATCTACCGACTCTGCACTCCACAGATATGCCCACTTAAGTCTGGACAGACCGCTGTCTTCACAACGTGTTGTCATCGCGTCGATACGAATAACAGCCACAAAACGCGTGCACCACTGGCGTATCATACCACTGTGCACGCTGTGTAGATGGTAGTTGCGTCTTAATGGTCGCACAACAGCCGTTCTCATTGGTTCAAGCATGACGAGACTTGATCCTTGGGTCACCTCTCACAACTGACTGATATGGATGATGTGGCTCCTAGATGCTTGGCAACGACGCAAAATATAGCTACCGATGTCTGCAAACGGTGCAGGACAGTCTGAAAGCCAGATGACGTCAGATATGGTCAAAACGATGCAGCAAGTAAAACGCATTACGGGCGGATAAGCGATAGCACTTGTTGGTCTCGATCCAACGACCTTTGGGTTATGAGCCCAACACGCTTCCTCTGCGCCAAAGTGCTGCTCGGCACACATCATTACCCAAACACACACAAAATCAGCCAATGCAACACCCTCACACCACTACACCGAGTCACACGCGTGCACTCTGCCCGGACCGACATATCCGCGCCATCTACCGACTCTTCACTCCACAGATATGCCCACTTAAGTCTGGACAGACCGCTGTCTTCACAACGTGTTGTCATCGCGTCGATACGAATAACAGCCACAAAACGCGTGCACCACTGGCGTATCATACCACTGTGCACGCTGTGTAGATGGTAGTTGCGTCTTAATGGTCGCACAACAGCCGTTCTCATTGGTTCAAGCATGACGAGACTTGATCCTTGGGTCACCTCTCACAACTGACTGATATGGATGATGTGGCACCTAGATGCTTGGCAACGACGCAAGTATATCTACCGATGTCTGCCAACGGTGCCGGACAGTCTGAAAGAGTCACACGCGTGCACTCTTCCCGGACCGACATTCCGCGCCATCTACCGACTCTTCACTCCACAGATATGCCCACTTAAGTCTGGACAGACCGCTGTCTTCACAACGTGTTGTCATCGCGTCGATACGAATAACAGCCACAAAACGCGTGCACCACTGGCGTATCATACCACTGTGCACGCTGTGTAGATGGTAGTTGCGTCTTAATGGTCGCACAACAGCCGTTCTCATTGGTTCAAGCATGACGAGACTTGATCCTTGGGTCACCTCTCACAACTGACTGATATGGATGATGTGGCTCCTAGATGCTTGGCAACGACGCAAGTATATCTACCGATGTCTGCCAACGGTGCCGGACAGTCTGAAAGAGTCACACGCGTGCACTCTTCCCGGACCGACATTCCGCGCCATCTACCGACTCTTCACTCCACAGATATGCCCACTTAAGTCTGGACAGACCGCTGTCTTCACAACGTGTTGTCATCGCGTCGATACGAATAACAGCCACAAAACGCGTGCACCACTGGCGTATCATACCACTGTGCACGCTGTGTAGATGGTAGTTGCGTCTTAATGGTCGCACAACAGCCG